AAGAATTAATTACTTAAAGGCATTTGGCTGAAAACTCTGGTTCTTTAAATGCAGTAGTAGAGTTGCAAAGCTTTTATTGCCAGTGTCCTATATTTTCAAGATAGAGATGTATATTTTACTGCATTGTATGCTTGATTATAGAAATAAGATTATATGGGATTTCATAAAACTTATGACATAATATCCCAGACCATTGTGAAAATACTAGTGACTATAAAATACTTTTTGATCAGGAGTAGTGACATGGCATAAAATGCCAACTCTCATCAGCTTTCACAAGTCAAGTTTTCTTCTGAAGTCATTCTTGGTATTTAAATTCTTCCTTGAAGATGATGAACATTCCAAGTCTTACAGCTTTTAGTATCTTTTGTAAAGCCAGTTATTGGCCTCTAAATGTCACAGAATCACCAGGTTGGCTATAATTATTTGGTAGCCTTGGTAGATGTAACTTTTTTTTTTTTAATTATATAGGTGAAAAACCTTGTCTTACAAAAATGATAAGTAATTTTAATGCAGCTGCTACTCTGTGGTGTGTCGAGGAGGGATATTAATTTCTAGACTGTCCTATCTCATACAGCAAATTCACTTTCAGAATTATACTTTCTTCCTATGTGCCCCTTCCAAAAAAAGAAGAAGGGATTGGAGACAAAGGGATGTTCAGTATCCCAAAGCCCATGGCTTTGTGGTTCCATTGTTCTTTCGCACCAAGACTCCTGTGACAGTAGGATTTCCCTACTGCTTTCACCCCTGCTCTACATACATACAGCAGTGAAAAGGAACCTGGGAGAACTAGACACAGTCATTGGGCACAATGTCATGTATGGCCTGGGACAAGCTGCTTCATCTCTTGATACCACAGTTCCTTCTCTGTGGAAGAGGACTGACTTTCACTCTGTGTTGTATTGTAAGGATCCATTCATTAAGGTTTCTAAAGTGTTCAGAACTGTGGCAGTAGGGGCTGTGCAAGTATAAAGTGACTACCTTTCTGTTCTCTAGTGACTGTAATTTTTGCAGTAGACACACTGTGGTTCAGAAGTGAAACCAAGTCAGTAACAAATCCTTTAAATAAAGTTTATGATTTATTAATTTTGTTGCTAATAGTTGGACTAATTCTGCTGTACCTTCACAAAGATTTTTTTTTTTTTTTACTCCGTTCACATTCATAGCCTGGGAGAAAGATTTAATTTTAGAAGTTTCAGTTGACAAAGACATGCTGGTGCTAGATACGTATTTCAGATCCTTGTCATTGTACTCTATTTTTGAATTCAAGTGCCAGCCAACCTAGAGAGCATGTCCTGTGTCTGTGTTGGGTGTTCTGCATCTGTGTTAAAGCTGAATTCTTCCAAGCCTTAGCACAAGACCATCAAATTTACTTTTATATTATTCCTATTTAATGAAGAGAAATGCTCTAGCAAGTTCTTTTCATTATCACAGAACTAAAACTGGTCATAAAAACAATCCTCTTCACTCCAGAGGTTTGCTCAGGCATTGGCAATTTTTGAGATGCTTGACTATCAACAGCCACTCAAGAAAGAATTTTAAATGGTTTTGTGACGTCAAGGAGGCCCAAGAAAATATAGTCTGGTGCCAAGCTACCTCCATCATTGAAAGCACACAGTAAGAAATAGATAACACAGAAATAAATCTTTTGTTCAGTAGCTATCTCATGATATGCTCTAGCGACTCCAATAAGTGAGGTTGTCTAGTATAGGAATAGCTGAAGAAGATGAACTTTCAGACCCTCATTTACTAATTTATGATTAATGAAAAGCCAACCTAATCTATTTGACATCTTGCTGTCTGGACAGAATGTCTGCGGGTAGCTTGGACCTTGCAGAGGGAAATGCCCTGACTAAGTTACAGCCTACAAAAGCGAACAATTTAAGTATGATGGACAAAAAGCTGAATCTCTTGAATGAAAAGATGGACAAACTGTTGCATTTCCAAGAAGATCTGACAGGCAAACTGCAGAGAATTAACAAAGGCATTGATGATGTAGAAAAAGACATTAACAAGCTAACAGTATCCCGAGCAGCTCCTGATGAGACAGATGCAATGAAAAAAGGCCTGAAGGTATTGGACAATACCCACCAGGCTGATATCCAGAGCATATGCTCAGAAGTGTTGAAATTGGTGAAGGCTGCCCAGCTAGATGCCTTGAAGAATAAGGAGAGGCTGGCAAAGATAGAGAAAAGGGTTGATACACTGGATAAAGTTATTACATTTGTGGGAGAAATATTAAAAAATTCTAAAGTAGTGGATTTTATTCTCAAAGGCATTGTGCCCTGGAAGAAGGGGAGTCTGCTGGAAATCCTTGTTGAGGTTGGTTTTGTTTTACTATTCTTTGTATTTTTCTTTATGACGTAGCAGGGCTTTAGGCTCTCCTGCCCATTTCCTGCATAATGCATAATTCAGGTTTTCCTTTCAGTTTAGCTGTTACAGGTTATTGCCGTGACCTTTGAATTGCAAGGCTCTTGAGAGAGACCAAGGCTCAAAACATGCCTTGATGGCAGTCTTATCTCTGAGGTTCCCAGAGTGTGCCAGGCAATTCTGTAACAAATATGAGGAATAGATTGGTACTGTAAAGGAAAATTCAGCTTCTACCAGTGCTTTTGAGGATCAGCAATGTCATTCAAATTAGTGACTGAATTGAGGTCCCAGTGAAAAGTATGAGTAACATGCTAAAAGCATTTTTTTTGTTGGAAGAAGCGTCTATTTTCTTGACTGGTCATGAAATCTGAACACAATGCCAGTTACTGAAACCTGTGCTGACTCATGGTCATGTTACTGAGCAGATGTATGTGTTCTTAGATATCTAAGTTGTCTTTAGCTACATCTTTGTGCTGAAACTGTGACTTTATCAACTCCAGCGACATTGTTCACTCATTGTGCACAGTATGTCAGTGGCCAGGTGAAGATGAGTATAAAGATGATAAAATAGTTTTGTTTCCAGATTGTCAGTGTTTAAGTGAAAAGAGCAGTAAGGGAGGTGGTAAATAAAGGGAGGTGTTGTGAGGGATGCTGGAGGAATGTTTCACATGGAATTCTAGCGTACTGTTGGAATTAGTTGTCAAGTAGCTACTATGCACTGCCTCCTCATCAGGGTTTGCAAAAGAGGAGATTGAAGGAGGTCAGAACTTCAGGTTCTATGGATAGGGAGATAGAAACTGAGAGGTGAAATGATTTGCTGTTGGTGACCTGATGGGCTAGGATGGGGTGGAGGTCTGCACCCCAGGCTCTAACCACTGCCTGTGTTGTGGAGCAGGCAGTGTGTATTGGGCAAGTGGAGGGTTTTATGGCTAACTCCCCTATTGCAATATGACCATCATTGTTCTCCTTTGATTCTGGTCATGAACAGTTTTTGAAATTGGAGCATAAGGTCAGTTGTAAGACCTTAGGATATGTCTGTACTTTGATCACAGGCTGCTGAGTGATATTTGAACTAGGTTTGAATTAGCAAGGTAGTGTATATATGTGACCTAGCTGGGGTAACGTGGAGCAAAGCACAGGTGAATTTAAAAACAAATTGGCTTGCGCTGAGCCATGTGCTAACTTTGATCTAGATTTTGCAGCCTGTTTTGTGATAGCAGTATAGACATGTCCAAATTGCTCCACAATTGCACGGGGGTTGCACGCAAAAAGAATTTTCTACCTGCTTGTTTTCAACCTTTGCTGTTTTGTAACAGTGTGCTGCTTATCGCGGGGCTGGCTTAGTGCAAGGTTACTCGGTATGGTGAAAGGAGTGGGGAGGTCATGTTTTCATTTCTGGGTGAAGCTGTTTGTTGATGGTATGACAGCATTCCAGGGATGCCACGGAAATGCTTATGGAAGTTTTGCGAGGTCGGAGTCAAATTGATAAAAGATGAGAAATTGAGCTTCATAGAAGCCAAACCTCTAACTTCTTACTTAAAAACCAGACAGACGGGAAAACTCATCGGCTTATCCAAGGCTTTCCTTGCAGTAGGATTTTGCAAGAATAATGTTCCCCCTGGTCATTGTTGCTGGTTTGCTTAGAGCTGTAATTAAAATGGTAATGATTTTTTACTACTTTTACTTTTTGAGTGTTTTGGTTTTTGGGGAGGGGGAGGTGAGAGGGTACTGCTGTGGAATCTATATGGTTGGAGCATTAAATCCTTAACTACTTTTCTAACAGATGAAGAGGCTGATTTGCAGCAATCTTGTTATCTGCAGAAATATTTTAAAGGTTGCTTATTTGCTTGTACAAATAAGGATAGGAGACTGCTCATCACTAGGTTTTAACTATATGCCAACAAAGAAATATGTTATGCCTTTTCCTACTTTTGTGTAATGCTTTTTGCTAAATACTAGTTACTTAGTTTTAATTTGATTTTAATATATTTGTGTGAAGGAGTTAGTGGTGCTATTACAAAATATCCCGCCTCTGTGCTTTCTTAATTGGAGGAAGAAATTTGCTTAAAAATCTGCTTCTAAAAGACTGTAAGTCTGTGTTTAACCATGCCAAAGGTGACGTGTATTGTCAAGTACGTACACAAGAGTTACCATAAAGCTGGAGGCTCTTGTTTGGTATCACCTCTATCATAGCTCAGATCATGAATCTTTAAATGCCTTGAGACAAATATATTAACAATATCTTCAGAGACATTGCTAATCTTTCAGTCATCAACAAAACAGCAACAGAAATCCAGTATAATCTGTTTAAAATTTCTTATGTTTCACATGTCATTGTTTTTAATCAATATGAGTAAAGAAGACAGGAGGCAAAATATCTGACAGTCAAAATTTTGGAAAGCAGTGAACTAATGTTACTCGGTGCCATCTTGTTTTAGAAGTATGCCTGTCTGCAAAAGCAGGGAGAGATTAGAGGAAGGGAGTGAACAGAACAGTAACTAAAATTTCTGAACAACAGACGTGTTAGTGTCCATTTTACAGAATCTGAATACCTACATAGTCAGAGGGACCTAGTGGGAAATAAAAACTCTTGGCCATAACTTATTTTTGTGTTCCCCTGTCATCTATAGGCCAAAGATAAGCCAGAGGAGAGTGGTGCAAAACCTAAGCATGTGCTTAGTAACAGAGGAACCCAAACTGAAAGCAAGAAGCCTCTGGAAGGTATGTATCACTCTAGGCATGCTACAGGCTTTGACTCTAGAATGTGCAGCAGACAAACTGGAAATTTATAGCCTGCTATTTCCCACTACCTGAATTACTCAAATATAACTGAGTAACTTTGTCCACCAATACTGGGAAAATAGAGTTGTTCTCACCTCCTCTGCAATATGATCTGTTCCCCAGCTCAAACCCCACAAAATGCTAGAAGATCAAGAAGCTCAAAGCAACACCTTTGTTTGGCTGCACAGTTTTTTTGCTTTGGAATTACAGTGAGCTGAATTAAGAAAGCAATACTAGTTCAGAGATACCACGAAGGTAGTGACAGTGTCACATAGCAAATGTAATAACTTATTTTCCCTTAACACATCTGAACCAGCCCTCCCCCCTTCCACTCTCTGAAAAAGGGATGTGTTGAAATAGAGAATATCTTTTTTTGATCAACAAGTTTCATTGCCATGTCAGGGCTAGATTCCTATTTAGGATGCATCTGTCAGGGCATTGCCCTGTTGCATCCATTATTAATGCCTGTGGAGTTGCAATAGGGATAAATGTGATGTTGAACAGGCCCTGTCATGCTGTTGTCTTCACAAATGGTCAGATTATGGGCAATCCCCCTTTTAGCTTCATCATTTAGGAAGTGACAAAAATAAAGCAGACGGTCACGAATCTGACTCCAAAGCTACACAGGGTTGTGGACTAACCTTGATTGCCAGCAACCTGTGCATGATGAATCCTGAAAGAAGTTACCCTAGAAATTTCTACTGTTAATATTCAGAACCATTGTCATGAGAAGGTGCTGAAGAACCTTCTTGTCCTTTTGTGGAAAAAAACAAGAGGCACTGTCTCATGCCCCAGCATCCCTCAGAGTCCTGCTCAGCACGTCTCTGCCCCTCTGATCAGATAGAGGGTATATTGTGTTCAGGAGGCTCCTGAATGGATCTGCAGTGCCTGAATGACTGGTTATATTTCCCTGCAAAGTAATTTCAGATTTTAGATGCAGTGATCTTGAGCCTTGCAGGGTTTTTTTGTTTCCTTTATGTAAATCCAAGTTCAATACTGTAACACTGCTGGAAAGCCAGCAGAGCAGTTAAACCTCTGATTAAGTCATGAGCATTAATAATGGTGATCTCAAGCCTTCTGGTGTAAGGATTTTAAACCTTTGGGGGGTCTCTTGCTACCTTTTCAGATGTACATAACTGCATAGGTTATTTTGAATGGTGGGTTGCTTTATTCCCTCTCTGTTTTGCTGTCACTTCTGTCAAGGATAGTTTGTTAATGGCTTTTTTTTTATTCAGAGACAAAAAGTGGGAAAAAGTTGGATGAAAACAAGGGAGCATGTGAGAAAGTGAATGCTTCTAGTGCTGTAGCCCACAAAGCTGATGCCAAACCCAAAGTTAAAGAGAGAACAGCGCAGCAGCAAGTAGTAGAAGGTGCTGGTAAAACACAGAGCTCTAAGAGCTGTCAACAGCAAAAGGACGTTGGTGTCAAAGCTTTGAATCAACACAATGGTCTTCCCTTCGTAAATCAAGATCATGCGGGCAACCGAAATGTTCCTGCTAAAGCACACGATATGGACAGAACTCCACGCCTAGATGAGTGCCACAGGCAGCTTGTTCATCAGAAACTCAGAAAGAATGAAAACAAACCTCCATTGTTGAGTGAGGCATCTCGGGAAGCTGTGCCCTCCGCAACCCGAGCTGTATCTGACTCAGGGTGTGAGGTGACACATACCAGGTAATGGCTTTGTTGGTAGCTTTCTGTGTGATCTGAAACAGTTTCATGTGTTAGCAGGAAAAAAAGAAAAGCCAGAAAAGCCAGGTCATTAAAGGAGGCAGCTCCTGCTGAGACATGATCCAAGGGAAAACCAGCCATGCTAGGATAGGAGTGGTGAGACCTTACCAATGGTTAAGGCAAAAAACTCAATACATCAGGTGCCCTGTGAATTTCTGTGAAGCCAAGGAGGCAGAGGGCTAGATGTATGGGAGAGTTTTTATATGTCGGGGATTCTCTGTATTAGAGATAGAAAGGTGACCGCCCTAGTATAGCTCAAGTAGTTGGACATTTATAAACCACTCCTTTCCAACTCTGTTTCTGTAACTGGGGGGTGGGGGGGAAGAGGAATTTGAGTTGTTTACTAGTATATGACCAAACCAAACAGCTTGTTTTGATTGCTGTCCTCAGTGGTTTTGTGAGTTTTTTTAATGCCTCAGTCACCTAAAGATATGACCAGATTGTTCATTTATTAATCTCTATTAGCCTAATACTTTCCTCATATAGGTGTTTTGTAATATGCCTTTAATAATCCATTTCCTTTTGAATTATGATTTTATTTTAATTCCATTTACTTAAATTAAAAAAAAAATTCCACACAACCAAAAACAGCCTACCAACCAAACCCCACCAAATTGAAATTCTGTGGCAGTTTTTAACTGCCATGTCTTCTCTGTCTGGGCTGGTGGATATGAAGTTGTTCGTATATGTGTATGAGTGTATCTATGCATGATAGACACACTCACACATACATACACACACACACAGAGGTATAGATACGTATGTTACTTTGTGTGTGGAATTTCTCCATTTTTCATGTGTACAAATCAGTGTCTGAAGCCCAAACAAGAACATGACATTACTCTTCTGTATATGTACTTTAACTTGAAAATTTTTCATTTGTAGCTGTATTTGTATATATAGAGTGGACCCTTAAATCTTCCTGTGCAATGGTTAAGTGTCTACTGGGATTAATGAAAGTTGTCCTTATGTTCGCACATAGCCTTCATGAGGGAAAGGGGTCATTGTAAAGACTAGCACATGGGGAGATTTTTCTCCTAGGAGGCTGAGCGTAAGGATGTGGCAGGAGAAAGCAGAAGCTTTCACTACTGTGGCCTCTTTTCAAACATTCAAGAACAACTCTGTGTACAGTTTATAGTCATTGTTACCTCCAAACGGGTGGCTGTAATAACACTAAAACCCAAGGGACACCCTGTGGGTGTTAGGCTCAGGCTGGTGGGCCGTAGGCACAGCTTCAGCAGCTGGAGCACTGCCTTGGCGGCTCTGCCCGTGCCCTGCTCTGAGGATGGCTCAAGGTGTTTGTGAAGCAGTGGAGGAACAATTGCTGTTGCCCATGGGAAGTTGGTGCTGGTTGACCATGATGTGCCAGGCGGTGAACTTGGGGAAGGGCAACAGCTTCTGAAGCAGCTGGTTGGTTTGGGCAGGGCCCTGAAGGCTTTGGTTTTGGGGATGAGGGAGGTGGACAGATAACTGGAAGGCAGAACCTAGAGTAAACCCCAGGGGAAGCTGCAGCCTTCCTGCAAAGGGTACCGGATTATGCTTTTGTGTGTAAAGTCACATGAGGGTGGTTAATGTCTCTCTAAAATTAATGCAACTTTTAATGAAGTCTGTAAGCCCACGCAGAAGCGTCAAAAGAACATAGTGTTCCCTTGCTTGGAGAAATGCCCAAGAGTCCTGCTGAGTTCAGGCTTGTCTAGATAGCAGTGGAAGTGTTTGCTCAGAGCTTGTGTTCATCTGCTCTGATAGCTCACTCCAGTCCAGTTTAGATTCACAGCACAATGCAAAGGTGTTAAAGGTGCTGAAAAAGATAAACTTTTGTTATGCAAAAGCAGAAACATTTTATTTTATAACATCTTTCATAATAAGGTTGCTCCACCAAAAGAGACAATAACTTTTCCAAAAATGAGATACATTCTCACCTAGACATCAGAAATTTTCTTTACTTGCTGTTGTATAAAATCTACTTTACAGTTTCACAAGTTTCAGTTCAGCCTCGCTAAAATCAGACTGTGTGCTCATGACACTTGGAGCAGTACAGTTGACTCAAATTATCACACAAATGTCTTTGGTGGATTTTAGGAGCATAGAGAATTGGGTTTAACCCATATTCTTTTCAGGCAACACAAGAGGAAAAAAAAAAATTATGAAACTTTTCTAGTAGCTGGAATGCCAAGGAAAATAGTATTGATGGAGTGGGAGAGGGAGAGTTTATGAAAGTTACATTTTTAACAGAAACCTGTGGAAAGAATGCTGTCCCATCAGAAGACACACACAGATGTTTGAGTGTGCAAGTCAGCCAGCTGGAAGAGGACTGGAATGGATGCAAACCTCTGGATCTGTAGAGCCGTATGGGCAATCAGCCATTTAGATAATTGGCCTCTAATTTGTGAAGGCAATCACTACCCCATCTCTGCTCAGATGAGTGGTATTTTGTTACATCAACTGTAATAGTTGCAAAAAGTGGGTAAGCTTTCAAATGTGGGATTAAGATTTTTCAGTGTGAGACATTTTGTGTTCAGCAGAAGGCAGACATATACACAGGTGAGGACACAGAAAAATTATCAGCATGCTTTTTGGTGCTTTCCTTAGTGTTGTGAGTATTTTCTAAGAGCATTGGTACAGTTAGATTTCTTGAATACTGTAGAAATCTCTGGTTTTGGAAGCTTATACATTTTTCTTCCCACACAAAATTATAAAAGCAAGGCTAGTCATCTGCATAAAATGTCAACTCTGTTCTGCAGGATATCTGTCAATGTACATATGACTGAAATGAAAGAAAAGATTGAGATGATGAAGGAAGAAAACTTAAATGATCACAGAGGTAAAAGTCCCAAAGTAAAATCCCCATCCTCCACACCAACAGAAGTAGGAGTCAAACAGCTGCCTGACAAATTAAAACTTCATCAGAGTGCTAAAGCCATCAGCACTGAGCCAAATCAAGAAGTGAAAGGGGACAATAAGCAGAATGAACTTGCACCTCAAACAGAGAAGCAACAGCCATTACTGAGCAAGCCCAAACTGGGTGAAAAGGCTGATGAGAAATCAGAATTAAAATGCAAGCCCATAACCTCACAGAATACCTGTGCAAAGGAGCGTACGAAAGGTGTGGGGCTAGAAGTAAAAATCCATCAAGAAACAGCAAAAGCAGGAGAATCCCTGACATATACCAACTCTGAGAGGAAATCTGAATCTGCATCTTCAGGGGGAAGTGAAAATGTTGCTCGTCAGTGTACAGGAATGGCATCAGAGAAGACTAAGTCCTTGGAAGCTTGCAAAGAGCTTCCCACACAGGATGAAATGATCATTGGTAAGTTGCTTACAGTTACTCTTGGAAACTTTTACATTGAGGATTTTGTGCTACTTGTGTGTTGTGTATACAATAATAGTTGGAGCAGTGCTTAGTAGACTACCAGTGTCTTAGAGTTAAAGAGCATTTTGCCATCGATATCTGTGACTATGTAAATAACATGTGAATTGACATTTGTACAAATTCTTTCAGTAGTAATTTTCCTTTTAAAGTGTGTTTTGAGGAAAAAAAAAAAAAGAGGTTCCTTTAAAATTGAATAAAGTATATGTGTGATGAGAAATATGCGTAATTTTGAAAAAAAATCCTTTGTCTTTAGATTAAGCATTTATTCCATAAGATAGAATAAGCAAACCAGGTATGCTTTAGCCAGCTATGGGCTAGAGATCCAGATAGCAGCAAAACATTGCAGGAAGAGTATCTTGCTGTGGTCTTTGCTGTGTTACTGGCTATAGATCTCTTCTCGGTTACTGTGTGAACACTTGATGGCATTGTTTCAGGAGTACTCTCTCCTAGCAGCATAAATATGTGTATGTCCCAGAACGCACATACAGGGGTAGGTGTCCTGACCTGGCTCTGGCTTTCCCAGCCGTGGCTGAGTGGCACCGAGGGGTGCGGCAGCAGCGCCTGTCTGAGGAACGGGGTTCATCTCTTCAGCAGCAGTGATGCTGGAGGTGGGGGGAGCACAAGAGTATGGTTTTGTGGAGCTGTGGATACCAGGGGCACAGAAGGCAGTCGAGACCTCCCATTACACTTAGCAAACACAACAAGGTGACGCGCGTGTCCTGCGGATTGGCATCGCTGGCGTGAGGGAGGTGAAACGGAGTGCGGTGGTGTGTGCGGAAACATCCCAGTGACCAGCTTGTGTCCTCTTTAGATGACAGCCCTTCTCCTCCAGCTCCTTTTGAACACCGCATAGTGAGTGTCAAGCAAACAGAGGTGACAACGTGCTACTCAGTGTGCCATCACGAAGTACTGGGGGGGTAAGTATCCCTGTCCCTAGTGCCGTTCTGCTGTTGGTAGCTAAGGCCTGGAGAAAGGCGGTCAGTTGACGAGCTGGAGTGATCTCTCAGACAGCCCCAGGGTGTGTGGGGAGGCATGTACAAGTTCCCTGCAGCCAGAATGAGCAGATTCATCCTCGGGACCTTTCGGGCTCTCACAGTTGCTGGGTTGCTTGTATCAACCTTCTGTTGGTTTGGGTGTGGGTGTGTATGGGGGGGATGTCTCTTCGATGACAGGTTTCTGCCCCAGTTCCATTTTCAGACACGTGACTGTGATCTTGGATGACTTTTCTGCATTTGTTATAATAATCCTGGCCACAGCTGGTGTCGCAAGAAAAACCTGTACCCTTCAGGCAGACATATTCAGAGCATTTGAAGTCAGCAAAGCCCATTAGGTCGGGCAGCCTTCAGAATCTTTTTTCCATGCTGAACTGCACATTAAAGAAAATGAAGGGAGAAGTTATAATTATTTTGACCTTATGTTTAGTTTACACTCATAGGAAGTCTGCAGCTGCTTTAGCCTTTGTATTCTTGTATCCTTACTTATCTGACAAGAAGGTTTGATTTGCACATTGATCCAAGTACAAATATGGCTTAATAAGTATAAGTGATATGATGCAATAGTAGAGAAGATGGTGTTCAGGAATCATCCCAAGGGGCATTAACGTATCTGGGTGACATGGGGGAGAATTTACAACACGCAAGAAATGCAGTCTGTGGAGTGGCTACAGTTACTGATCTTACAGACATTTATAAAGTTATGAGATCAGGACAGAAATATCCTTGTTAATATACCCACTAACACATCACTGAAGGACAGCAAGTGGGTACAGTTACAGAACTGAAAAAGAATATCGTCAGGTCATCATACTGCAGTGAAATGTAGTAATATGAAGGGGGCATAATATTTTAACGTAAGCATTGAACAGCTGGCTGGAAAGATAAAACTAATCCTTCATAAGCTGAGAGAAAGAGGAGATTCATGCTGCTGGCCACCTGATTCTGTTCACTTTGTACTGTTCTATTTTTAATCAAGGATAAGAATAGTTGTATGAAGTTTTTGCAGTGAGCTGCGTTGAGCCAGTTTCCCATCTTTTCCTTGGTATCAACAGGGGACGTTTTGGGCAAGTTCACAAGTGCACGGAAATATCGACTGGTCTCAACCTGGCAGCCAAAATCATAAAAGTGAAAGGACCAAGAGAGAGGGTAACTATGTTGCTGTGAAGCCCATGGAGCACACTCCCAACCTGGCCCTGTTGCAGGCACCTTAATGCCACTTCCCCGAATTGGCCCGTAAGAGGCGACTTGTCGTTGGGTAGTATCAAATACTGTAAAATCTGTCTTAGTAAGTAATGGCTTGGATTTTATATGACCATTTGTCATACCCCGTGTTTGTGATTGAACCTTCTGTCCACGTGACACCTGTGGTATAGCTGTTGGTGGGTTTTACAAATAATTGTATTTGAATATATTGGAATTTAAAGGACATATTTTGCTCATATTTTAGTAATTTGTTATTTTTTTCAGGAGGAAGTAAAAAACGAAATTAATGTCATGAACCAATTAAATCATGTGAATCTCATCCAGCTTTATGATGCTTTTGAAGCCAAAAATAATATCACTTTGATCATGGAATAGTAAGTTTAAATAATCTCAGGAATTGTTGGATGTTTGGAAAATGGAAGATGATAATTCTGAGGTGTGAAGAAGAGTTGAGTGATTTTCCCAGCTTGAGAGAGAGTTGATTTCACTTTCAGTAGGAAAAAAAATATGTTGTAAAGATAGTCTCTTCCGGTTAAAAATTATGTATTTGGCAAGATTACAGTTTAAGCAAATAATAAAGGAAGCTGCCTTCAAGAGTATGAACCTAATTACAAGATAGTTAATGAACAGAAATTCACTATGGTTCATTTTTCATTTAAGTTTATCTGACAGGCCCCAACATTGGCCCTAGCTACCAAATTCCATAAAAGTCTTGTAGGTAAATAAAATCTCATATTAAGGAGAGAGTGAAGGTGAGAGACCCAGACAAGAGAAGGAGTGAAGTGTTTTAAGTAGAATTAGAAAAGACATGGACAAGGTAGGAAGGTGATTATTTATAAGCATGGTCTACCACCTTTGAATAATTTTAGGATTAATAAAAATGCCTCCCTATTTGAAGCTAAATAAGAATTTTGATCTATATCAAATATGAAAATCACAAAAGGGAGATTTCATGATGTATACCTGCTGTCTTTTCTGTGTAGTGGTATATGGCTTTACATAAACCAGAAGTTTTACAACCTAAAAACCACATTTCTGCTACAGAACTAATTGTGAATGACATGAAGGAAAAAATACAATGTGAAATAGCAAATACAAATATAAGGCATTTAAAATGAGTATATTGAAAGTAATACCTGAAGTTTGCACCTTGCAGAACCTTGTCAGAGCTATGTCTGATGTAATTTTTTCTTATTTTTGTGCAGAATTAAGTTCAGTTGTCAGCTCATATAAAATAGCTTTCAGTCTGAGGTTTCATTGAGTAAATTTTATAGATTGAAGACTTATTTTATATAGACTAATAAGATGAGCAAATAATAGATACTTTATTTCCTGTAGGTTCTCCACGTCCCCATCAGATCACCAGATTGTGTGGGTTTGGGTTTGACATATATCCCTTCCCAAATGTTAGTGACAACTTTTCAAATTTTTAAATTTAGATTGCTATTTCATTTCACACTTGGAAATAAGCCTCTTGAAGTTATTGAGAATTACTGATATACCTTGTATTGGATGTGTTTATTAGGACCCTTGCTAAATTAGAGAGCCCAAGTTCCCAACTTGGAAATAAATTGAGCAAATGGGGAATTCTAGGGTTTTTAACACTTTTCTATGTCAAAATTTTAGCCTTGATGGTGGTGAATTATTTGACCGGATCACAGATGAAAGCTACAATCTAACTGAGTTGGATGCAATCCTATTTACCAAACAGATTTGTGAAGGAGTCCGCTACTTACACCAGCATTATATTCTCCATCTAGATCTGAAGGTCAGTATTTCATGCTCTCCGCCCTTTAGTGATGCTATGGTTTGGACCACCACAGAGCCTCTAATTACAAGAATCGTTTCTTATTTCATGGACTTATGTCATAAAGGAATAGACTTACTTAGTTCAATAACCACAATGAATGGAGCTCTAGAGATGCATTATTTTTTTTTTTTTCAATATCTATTTAGTAGCTTGCTTAGAATAGTGAAATGAACAGAACTCTGCTTTTGCCTCTCTTAAATCAGAAGCTTTTCATTCTGTGTGGAATTAAACAATGCCCTTTTGTCACCAATGAAAAAAACACACCCTAAATGCTCTTTGACTAGAAATGCCTGCACTCTTCCTTCCACATCCCCTTACCCCCTTGTAACTGTGTTCAAATACCCATTCAGTCATCATCTTATTGTTTGTACTTTTTACTACCTGGAACTGAACTACAGTAAAATGACAGTGTTTTTCTAGTGGCCCTAACATCTTTTAAACACAAATACCAACTGTTTTGGTTTGGTTTTTTTTTTTTGTTTGTTTTTTGTTTTTTTTGCTTGTTTATGCAGTGCCTTACACAAATGATATTAGACCTGGTTGTCCTGTCAGTTCTAATAAGTTTGGACACCCTTATCTACCCCATCCCCACCTTGAAAAATGTTCTCATTGGAAAAACAAATTTTTGCCTTTGTGGGCAAACCAGAGGTTGCATTTGACATGCTTCTTGTGGCTTTTTGTGGAGTTACTTTTATACTTAAGGAGTAAATCCAGTGGATAAGCCTCAACCATCAGACTGACTCTACCATTTTACACAGGGGAACTTTCCATTACAAAATCTATTTGTCACCTATGGTGAAATATAGGAATTTTGTTACACAGGAACAGAAATTAAACTTCTTTATGGGAGATCCAAAACAAAACCTTTCACTAACTCAGTATGCCAGTCAAATCCTTCTCTCCCATAATGGAAATAGAAGGCAAAGTATTATACTAAAAAACACCATTAAAATCTCTGAGATTTTTATACTCTTTTGCTAGATCACTCTCTCAAACAGTCCTACATTTAACTCAAAATACCTTCTTCTCTTTTTGTAGCCTGAAAACATATTATGTGTAAATCACACAGGAAACCAGATTAAAATTATTGATTTTGGATTAGCAAGGAGGTAAGAGAGTTCATTTATGAATTTATCTTAAAAAACAAAATCCACAAACCTCAGACATGTTTTTTGTAGTTCTTGGGGGTGTGGGGGAGGGGCAGCGCCTGTGGTTTGCATTTTGGTGGCTATAAAGTAATTCGCTATGTGAATGAGCTAAGCAGTGTGCTGCTGCAGGCATGAGTTTTCTGCTGTTTATGTTAATTATCTTATTACTTTTTCAAATAACATTTATGTTGGATAAAGCTATACTGCTGTTCTAATTATCTCAGAATGATTCCCCATGTAGAGCTGTTACTCTAGGGACTTCTTGAAGGCTCGCAGAGACTTCTTGACTGCTGAGTTTTATTGTGCAGGTTCTAGTTGTGGAAATTATCTGCCAAACTCTTTATGCAGATAAGTTGGTTGAAGGAAAAATAAATAAATAAATAAAAGGCATGTTTGAGCCATCCCTTGTGAAACAGGCAACCCTCAGAGAAATAGGGACTTTTTTCCATTCTTTTACTTTGCTTGCAGGAGTTTGTTTAAAGGAAAGCTGTGAGAGTATGAGTCAATTCCCTTAGAATATAAAAGGAATGACTCCTGGTAGTATAATAGTAAGAACAAAGTTTTTCTATTCCTTTTCTACACCCACCCTTTGGAGCTTTTCTGAAATCAAAACCTGTTACATTCATGCATGTATGTACTTATGTGTGTGCATCTATGTACCCAAGGACTTTTTTCTTTCAGAGGTATTTAAGGAAAACAGAAATGGGTGCTTTGAGGGTGGTTTGGTTTAGCATTTTGGGTTGTTGTTTTTTGTTTGCTTGTTTGTTTCTTATGTCTTGGTTTGGTTTGGTTTTCTTTTTTTTTTTTTTTTTTTTAATTGGGAGGGTAAAGATGCAAACGTCTACTAAGCAGTTTTGAAAACAAGATCTTCCAGGAAATAAAGATGTAAAAGCAGTGGTTCTGACTGTATACAGGTGTAACTCCAGCTGCCATCAGTGACCATTATTACTGGTTCTGTTTTGTAACCTTTCCCTTTTAAGCAACAGAACAGAATAATTTTCTCCCCATATGGTATCACTTGCTACTAAGCCCAAATAATCTTCAGCCCCACCTTAGCAGTTAAATTGTGCTCATATCTGTTACACAGAACTTTACCCTGAGCTGTAGCTGGGTACATCCCACTAAGCAAATGCTCTCCAAACCTGTTTTAATGGAAGCTTCTTCATTTGGTTTATGTTGGACAACATCTGCTGCAAACTATCCTGCAGAGCCTGTCAGAGTAAAGCTGCTATCACTCTGCGGGGGAGGCCTTTGCAGGTCTTTTTGGTTTTATTGCCCTTGGTCTTCCCTCTGCTTTTGCTCTGGTGAAGGAATAGATGACGGTATAGTCACCTGCAGTCACAGCAAAATTCACGAATTTATTATTTAAAGACCTTGATGCTGTCCTGATTGTCTGGGGAGTCTGCTGTGCTCACTCTGCCACGCTTGCATGGCAGAAGGCCAGGCCTTGATTTTTACAAATGTGAGCTGTGTTCCCCAGCCTGCTCTCAGCACTGATGCGTCTCTCTCTCTGGTGAAGGTACAAACCTCGTGAGAAACTGAAGGTTAATTTTGGAACTCCGGAGTTCTTGGCTCCTGAAGTGGTGAACTATGACTTTGTTTCCTTCCCAACGGACATGTGGAGTGTAGGCGTCATCACGTATATGTTGTGAGTAGCACTGTGAGCAAGAGCACGCCAGTGGAGGGCACCTGCAGAGCAGGAATGCAGCAACCACTGAGCCCATCTGGCTGTGACTCCTCCTCACTCATTCTGTTAAAAACCCCAGCCTTTAACGCAAAGGCACCTCACTGTGCACGCAAAGTCTCTAAACCAAGGTAAAATAAGTCAGGTCTTCTTTCACTCAGAAGAGTTGCCCAAAGAATGTCAGAAGTTCAATTCTGATTTGCGTTTCTGAGGACTTGAATTAACTGTCAAATTTTTAATCTGATCATTTCAGTAGCTTCAATTTGGTGTGCTTCTGCACAGAGGAATTAATGTTGGTGTTAGGCCATGGTCTAAAAAAAATTGCATGTCACAACTAGGGCTAAAACTTTTCTCTCATATCTGGATGGCACCATGGACAGCTTTTCTGTCCAGTCTTTGCCTTCTGATGAGCTGACTTTGCATCCTTAAATCTTTCACAGATGCTTTCTGTGAACTGGATACATTTCTGATTTAAATTTGTATGTTAGCCAAAACTCAACTGAATGAAGTAATAAACGACTGAAAGCAATAAATCTGGGCTTAGACACTAATTGAAAAAAGTATGCTATTGTTCAGAATTCTGTTTAATTCAAGCCAAATATGGAGATGGGCCTTGGTTTAGGAAAGGTCTTGAGTCCCCCTAGCTTTCCTAGCTGGGAAAGCACTGAAGTATGTACCTAGATCCCCACTGAAAATTTCCTTGGGGATCTATTAACAGTGCTCCCTGATGTAGCTGAGAGAACTGCTAGAGAATAACACTAACATCACAACACTTTATTGCTCCAAACTGTTGGCTTATCTTGGCAGGGACTGAGAAGTGAAACCCTCCCATAGCTGAGAGTCTTTCTTCTCCATAAGCTAACAACAATTATGAAGCAGAGGATTCATAGAAGGAAAAACACATCTTGCATATAATCTCTCATTCTCTTTTTTTTTAAGGCTTAGTGGCCTGTCCCCATTCCTGGGAGAAACTGATGCAGAAACAATGAATTATGTAGTCAACTGCAGCTGGGATTTTGACGCAGAAGCATTTGAACAGCTATCGGATGAAGCTAAAGACTTCATTTCCAAGCTGCTCATGAAGGAGAAAAGGTACCTCTTTGTCTGATCGTGAGGACAGTAGCACCTAATGACATTAAGCTCCTCCTAGCCAACTGTTTGGGTTGCAGCCAACAATGAGAATTAACTACATGACATTTTTGTATGCTGTATCAGTGCTTGCTGGGCAGTTCCTCAGTGATTCAAAAACCCCTATTGAAAAAGAAAATGTCTGTGTACCTTGGCTGAAGAAAGTTGCTTTTTGCAATAGCATCAGTACATGCAGAACAGAGGTAATCTGAAAGGATTTGCTGCATAGGAATCTCTTTAGTATTCCTTCTCTGAGCAAAAGCTATTTCTATTGTTAATTTGGATTCTCACAAGCCCTGACACAAATTGCAAAAATGTCTCTTGAATGCTGTGGAGGATAAATGAAAGCTGCAGCTGTGAAAATGTGCATTGTTCTCTTCTAAAGCAGTCTACATGCATTTGGTAGATATTAAGGAGCATTTGGGACTTAACTCTGCATGTGGCTTTTCAGTCTTGGCTCCACTGTAATAAAAAGTGCACATAGGAAACAGCAGGAGAGAATGAGGGTGATACTGATGTCACACCATGGCTATGGGGCTGGAGAAGTGAGTAGAGAAATTTTTGTCTTGCTGTGAGTAGTGATACAAAACTAATCAAACCAGGAAGTGATGCATACAGTAAAACAGATTGTGTGTTTGAGGGGAATTCAAATGAGTGCTTAGAATGTTAATGACTTCCAGATCATTACCTCAATCAGATAGATCTATTCTAGTATTAATTAAATTTTGAAAAGTAAAGTAATATAAAAAGATAAGAATAAACTGAACTTTAGCATATTGCCAGCAGGAGACAACAAAGAGTTTTTTCTCAGACTGTCATGATGATTTGCTGTAAGACTGTAAACTTTGGAGTCTTGCATTCTTCTGTGCAATGGGAATAAGGGCTCCAGAGGGACACTGTGCAAAGTCTGGTTAGAAGCTGTGAATGAAGTGACTGCAAGAAAAGAGTGCTGTCAGAGAGATGCAAAGAGGGACAATTAGTTTGCCGCATTGTTCACAAGGTATATGGATGCCTCTGCTCTCCTACAGACTTGGCACCTTTGCCGTGCTTGGACTGTAGGTCTGGTCTTGTGCAAGATCTGTACCTACCTCCCCCAACTACTGAAATCAGGTGTGAGCAGGCAGGAGTCACCTTTTCATCATCTCAGTGACAGTTCAGACAAAGCTCAGGAGTTAGTCATAGGCTTTTGTATTGAAAAAAGGCAAATTAAGCTTTTTTTTTTTTTTTTCTAAACATATTTCCCCCGAGACTTCCTCTATCATATATTTCTCAAATCTTTTTTGATAGTCCTTCACATTTGGGCCCATTGTTGAATGTCAGGATATAATGTATGTTTACCTTGATTCAAGTTTAGGGTGAATAGACAAATTGTGCTTTTTAAATATGAGGCATGGAATAAGCCTGCACTATTAGGACAGACAGATAACACTACAAATATTTTCTGTATGCACTGGTTCCCTTAGCGGAGTGCTGCATTCACATAACAAAATGATACATAAACTCATGAAACTGTACAGCTGCTGCTTCAAAGAGAAAAAATGACACCCAAATCCAAACCCTAAACAGGCAAAATACAGTATTTAACGCCAGCTCAATCAACCCACTGCAGACCCACCTTTTCACACACTCACCGCTTACACTGGAGAGTGCAGGATGTCATTAGGATGCTGTGCACTGGGATGAACAGCACCTCAGGAGGCATCTCCACTCATCTCCATCCACTGTGTTGGTTCATTTAAGGCAGTTTCATTAGCAATAATATTGAGGAACATTAGGGCACTGAGAAAATGGCAACGAGGGTAGCTGGATTTACATGGCAGATTCCCTCTCCCGCAGCTGCCGGATGAGTGCAACGCAGTGTCTGGAGCACGAGTGGTTAAACAATCTACCTGCCAAAGCCAAGAAGTCCAAGCTTCGCCTAAAGTCCCAGTTGTTGCTGCAGAGTTACATGGCTCACAGAAAATGGAAGGTAAGTAAACAGTCTGGCAAATCAACTTCCAGAGGGAAAATCAGCTCCACACAGGCAGAGCCATCCCCTCCTTTTTTGTATGTTGGCTAACTTTTGTCCACAGTCTTCTTTCGTGTAAACATGAGTTTAGGAAGTCTTTTTTCTGTTGTAAATAAGTTTTTACTTCTGCAGAATGGTATTACTTCTATTTTTAGCAAGTTTGATTTCAATTTGTACTCCTCCTGATTGGTGTTTAGATGTTTCATGGTTTTTTCTTTACAAGTTCAAAGACTTCAGACGCAGCTTAGCTTGTGTTAAATCTTCTTTCTCTTCATATTGGAGAGATTTTTTTCCATCAACAACAGTTGCATGGTTCTGTTGTAACTATGGAGTAGGAATATAATGTAAAGCAGTTTTGTGCCTCCCAGTGCAGAGCAGAAGTGTGGGAGAGAAAAAACTAGGCTTAAACCCTTCCAGAGAACTCTTCACGACCTTTCTAATAACCCCATGCTCCTTCAGAACTGAATTTTATATGAAGTGAGACAGAAGAATTTTTATTGGAATCTCTATTGGATTATAGATAATTGATCTTGAAAGTTCAACACAGTGATCTTGTAACAAAGAAGCCTGTGGAATTGTGAGGAAAACTCAGTGAGGACCATTTCCTTTTCTTTTGTCACTAGAGAGTTTTAATTCCTTGCCAACGAGTTAAACCAGAGGCTTACGCTTTTTCCATTCATGCACTCCAGCTGTTTGGTCACAGGCCTCTGCACTTGCATTTTAAAAAATACATAATCTAAAGATGTATCGCTATACAATTTACAATAACGCTGCAGAAGTTCCTAGTACCAGCAGTCTGTTCTGCAGTAATCAGTGGTTCCCCAGTACAAAGCTGTTCTGCACTGCAATCCACGCAAGGTGTGGGTCACTAGAGGTAAATGGATTTACCAAGAAGAAAAATCCGTATCAGCCACAGAAAAAAAGTCCTTTATCTCAGTTGCACTCATGCTTGGACTGTTCTGTTTTGTTCATAGAAACACTTTTATGTGGTGGCTGCTGCTAACAGGCTGAAGAGATTTCAGAGTATGTCTGTCAAGCTTGCATAAGCTTGTATGAAGCATCTGCAACTCTTGGAGATGGACATTGAAGCCATGGAAGGACCCAGTATCTTCAATAATTTCTACCCCTTTTTTTTAGAACAGAAGGTTTGTGGTCTGTCCTCCTCAAATATTATGTATGTTAGTGCTAAGGTTTCAGAAGGGCCTCGAGGAAGAGGCACTGAAATAATTTCTAAAAGCAGAAGCTCCCCTGTTTGTTTTTACAAGTTTTTAGTTGTTGTACATAGTGATAGAAGAACATGGCTGTTATTGGGGCTGACTTCTTGCTGAAGGCTTTGATTCTGCAGCATTTTGTTGGTGTGTTTAAACCAGAAAACACCTTGTCAGTTTTCTGGTTTCTCACACCAAGCATGGGATCTAAAGACAATTCCTTCATAACTGATGTATGTCATTAGTTTTAGAGCACTGCCACAACAGTGGCACAATTTGTCTCTTGGCTGTTTGTTACTTAGAACAAAAGATAATTGGATATCCTTTTCTTCTGTAATTTTTTCAGAACGATTTTTTTTCCCCTCAAATGAGATGATGATTCAGTGCAACTACTCAGAGTTGAATGGTTTTGATTTATTGGTTTGTTGTTGTTTTGTTTTTTGTTTATTTTTTTTTTTAATTATACTCTTTCCTTTAAGAAATAGTTGCTGCATAGTTAGGAAATATGAGGAATCCTGGTTTGAAGCAACTTAAGTCAGTCAGTCCATTGCTGCTTTTCCTTATGGTGAGTTGAATTGAGCTGAATTGATTGAACGTTTGGAAGCAGATAGGTGAAACTGCCACAAATAAAAATCGCCCAATGACCATTTGGTCTATGCAAAAAAAACTCATGTTATCCAGAAAAGAAGAGATTTCCAGTCACTGTTTTATATGTATTTAAAATGAGTAAATGCTTCTCATTGGCTGTGACCGCAGCCCGTAATTTTGTAAGTTTTAGTTTGAGGATTCTTTTCTCCTCTCTAACAATATTAATGAAGTCTGAGAAGTTGATATGGTGTGATATACAAAATAGGTTTTGTTGCTGTTCAGTGGTGGGGAAACAGTGTGCTGCCAGACTCTGCCCTTAGCCCAGTTAGGAGGTTGAAGCCCTTTTTTTCCCCCACTTTGCTCTTGAACATCGAAGGTTTTCTTCACAATACTAACTTTGGGATTTTAATAATAATTTGGATTTAATAAAAATTTGAGATTTTAAACTTTTTGCTGATGTTGGAGCCACTTACAGTCTCTCAGCTAGAAGTATAACATTATTTATTAAACCTGTGGTTTCCTTCTTTCCTGTTTTAGATTCTGCATAACTCAGTGTGAGCTGGATGGGCTTTTAGGGAAAACAAAAGCTAGTACTACTAAAACTAGCTTTCCAGCAAAGGCATCAAACCACTGTAAAACTCCCTTTAACTTTATGGACTTTCATGTCCCTTGAATTAGTAAAAGTGTTGGTTGCTAATAAAGAGGTTTGTAAGACTGTCTTACTCTAGTCTAGTTATCTTTTCCACTGTAGGGCTTCTCACTTTGCATAGTCCTGTGTTCTGGACTTCTGCAGCATTTCCAGAACTGAGACAGAGAAGAATTATTAAAATCAAGTGAAATAATCTTGACGTTATCACCTTCTGTGAAGGCCCACTTTTGTTCATGTTTTTCTTCCACAGTGGTTCTGCATGCTAAAAGTGATTATATTAACTGGTCTGTATATTTATGAATTAATACTAATAAATTTCATGCAAGTGGAACAAGCCTATTCCTCAATTTTTTGGTTTAAAACACCCTTCCCCACCCCCCAAACAAACCTGAAAGCATCTGTGAGTAGGCCGTAACAACAGAATGCTAATATACAAGGTTGGATTCTCTTCCATCCGAAGGATTCTCTGCTACATATTAGATCAGACTTTAAACGGCAGATGTTTTGTTACAGCTCTTACTCAATGTGGGTTAATTATCCAATACTTTCTCTGCACATCAGGCATTTGTTTGGAGTCAATTCCCTAACAGTTACTATTACATTTCAGATCTCTCCTCTGGAATGAAATTAGCTCTTGCTAATTAAAGTAAAGTTGGCTTCAAGTGATTTCCTTTTTTATGCTTTGGGAGTAGTAAAAGGGAAATAGCCAGTGGGTTTCAGTTTTCCAATTACTCTTGTGCTGCTTACTCTTTTTTTGTTAAGAGTGTAACAGATAGATGCTCTCTGCTGTCTTGTATGTATTTCTTCTCCATTTCCTGCAAAAAGAAGGTGTCTCTTGCCAGCAGGATTACTGTTTCATTCCTAATAGAAAGAAACTCCTTTAAATTTGGCAGCCATTACATGGTTCTGCAGTACAGTGAAACCCACATCTGCAGCCTTCCAGGATATTTCCCCATATCCTGTGCATTTTGCTTTGGGGTCTACAAAAAAGCTGAAAGGATAAACTACACATGACCTGTGAGTCACTAGAACAGTAAGTATGACAAACTGACACTTAAAGCTAAATGATACCAACTATTGCACAGCAGCGAGGCGTTTGATGAGCCATTAAAATACTGTTGAGAAGACGCTTAGATGGGATCAGTGTTTCAAATTTAAATGCTCAGATGTCAGATATCATGCTTCATATGAACACGGGGTTTTCTGAGATGTTTTGAAATGAGGATTTATGAACATTAACTTCTCTTTACACACCCCAGACAGAAAACATGCAAGAGAAATGGGCAGAAGATTTGGATTGGCTTTATTATAGTTACACCAGCCTTGTACAACTAGAAGTTGTGATCTTCCTTCAAAATGTAGTTAACACAAATTGTAGTTTGAGTAGCTGGGACAGAAGTGTAGGACAGCAGAAGTTGCTTCTAAGAACTACAGGACAGGACACTCTCGCCTCTTTGCTGTTTATGACTCGGAGATGCAAAAAATTTGTGTTACCCAGGTAAGATCCTTGTCCCCTGCATATCTTCCTCCTTAAAGAACAGACATCTCCTGTATGGCTTTTATTTTGCACTCTAAGGATTTCATATATGACAAGTGCCAAGAACCTCATGTCATAATACAAAGCTTTTCCTTCCACTGTCTTTATTGTTTGTTGGAATATTTGGGACCCCTTACAAGCACAAGAGATTTCAGTCCCATACAGGTTATAAAAATAAGTCAAACTCAGTGACTAAACATTTCTTCAACAGTAAAAAAAAATATTAAAAATGATCAGTCTTAATTCTGCTGCTGGTTTTGCAGTTTAACAAGGCACTGGTAGTCCCCTCCCTCTTTTTTTTCCACTGACTACTTCCAGCCAGAGGCACATGGGCATGTAATCCATAAGTTATTTACACTTAACACAGCATTAGAATGTTACCTGCTTCTTGCATCAAGAGAAATTAAGCTATTCTACCACCTAATGCCATAGCTGCTCAGGTACCAGCTGGGCAAGTAGTCAGACAGGCTTCTTGTGAAATCACCTCAATTCTGGTGTCATTTACTAAAAATAACCTTCTTAAATACTTAAGAACCAGCTCACAAATAAAACTAGCTGGCTATCAGGCAGCCATCACTCATATGCTACTGGAACTTGTGGGGGCAGAGGGAAAGTTAAAATTATGAGCAAGTAGCAGTGATATTACTAGACGGCACTACAGAGGCAGTACTCCTACTTGTCTCTTGTGCCTTAGCAGCATTTTCCAGGATTTTCTTTTTCCATTCTTCATAGTCTTGCTTTGTTTCAGTCTTTGGCCGTTTACATGGCCTCTCCTCATCATCTTCTGATCCTATGAGAGAAGGAGAAAATCTATGACAGCCCATCATGGGCAGTATGTTGCTGGCAATAGCCATGGCAGTGAGCAAAAGTACAGACACAAGCCCAGGGTCTGTCATTGTATTGGCTAATCCTGGGGTCTGCTGCTCCCCTCACCTGCAGGAACAGTCACCTCTTCACATTTGTGTCAGAACGGAAGAGTTGGCCGTAATTCCACCAGAACAACTCCGTATAAACACCACTGTCCTTCTGATAGGTTCTCTTTGTATTTTCATTAGCCAGTGGTTTGCAGAATGGAGTAAGCTGCTGTGTGAGCTGAATATTATGGCATTTTACACAATTAAAATACAGTACATGAGGAAATGGAATGAAGCTGTGTCAGGGGAAGTTCAGATTGGACATTAGGGAAAAGTTCTTCACTGAGAGGGTGATTGGTCACTGGAACAGGATCCCCAGGGAAGTAGTCACAGTGCCAAGCCTGAGTTCAAGAAGTGTCTGGATGATGCTCTTAGTCATATGGTTTAGTTTTAGGTAGTCCTACAAGAAGCAGGGAATTGGACTTGATTCGTATGGGTCCCTTCCAACTTGAGATATTCAATGATTCTATGATAAAATATCATTAAGCAGCAATAAAGCTGAGGACTGCTCTGGTGAGCTGATTTTAGTTCATAGCTAAACACAACTTACCATCTGCCTTCTCACAGTGTTCTGCAGTGATGTTCAAGCTTTCAGGTGTCTTTGCAGCCAGTGGAACATCATCATCTAAAATAAGTAAGTTGTTTTACTTCTGAGCAGTGTTTGGGGCCCCAAGGGTGTTGTTCTACATGCAATCCTTTGGTAGCAGTGCCACCTTCCAAAAGTATTGTCTCCCACTCAGAGCTGTCCCCTGGTCCAGACTGATGCCCAAGCTGTGTGTGCAGAGGTGCCATCGCACCCCAAGGGTTGCATGGACTGGTTGGCTACTTTAACTAGCACTGCTGCTGCATTTGTAACCACAATGATTCACCATGTCCATAACCCAAAAACACACTGCTACCCTCCTTGATTACTCAGGCAGGATTATCAGTTATTTCTTCCCTTTCTACCCCATTTCCACACTTTGTATTATAGGTGCCCACAACATGCAGGGGCCTATCCATGTATACAGATGCACACACTTCCCTGAACCGATACAGAAACTCCCAGCTGCCTTTAGCTGCTTTAGTGGTGGGGTAAGGTTTTGGGTTTTTTAGAGGGCACTGCACTATGGGAAGATCCATGCCGAGGGCATAGTACAGCAGCTTTTTGTTAGGACTGAGGCAGCACATTCCAGAAAACTTCATGATATGAAGTGTGACGACAGGGTGAAGCAAGATTACTGTCAGTGGGAGAGTAAGAATGAAAGCCTGGAAAAGGAAAAACGAGGTAAGTAGGAAGGAGCAGGGACATAAGAACAGGATGTGTTGTATTTCAATCTTTGTCCTCCATGAAAAGGAGTGCAGAGTGCTGCAGGTCCAACAATGGGTGAGAAAGATTCCTCATGTCTGCCCACTGTATATGGAGGGGGATATGTCAGGTAATGGCTGACTTGCTACCAGAAGAGCTTAGGCTTGTTAATCCTGCAGCGGGGGAAAGGAAAACACGGAAGTGAGTCAGTCAAAGCAACAGAGGTAGCAAAATGTTTATGTTAATTTGTGTATCATGTTGCCATGATAACAGGATGCAGAAAGCAAGCAAGCAGGGGGAATCCAAGACCGGTCAAGTAGTATGGGAGAAGCAGGGAATAAATTGAAGCAGTGGTAGATGGATGGAGCAGTGAGCATTTGAGAAGAACAGAAAATATTTGGTTTTGGTCTTGTCACATGCTAAGCTGTTGTGACTTCCCCAGAAGTAGTTCCTGCGACTGGGAACTAGGCTGCAGGAAACATGTTGGAATAGGTGGGCAGGTTTGGCTGAAAGGGAACAGCTCAAAGTGATCAGAATGAAATCACTTGTTAGTGGAAAAGGACAGGGCACTGTGAGGTCAGGCGATGGGTATGCTGTCTTACAGGATCAAAGCCAAACAACTTACTGCTGACTTGCTGGCTCATCTTCTCCAGCTGATTGCACAGCCGGTCAAATATTGCTTTTTTCACCCCAGATGTAGCCAACATTTTAGTTTTGTCCACTTTTAGCTTCAAACACCTACAAAAGAAAGTGAAGTTACCTTTGTACAAAGCAACATTCCAGCAGCTATCACTCAGGTGAGGTAACATTTACTATACCAACACTGCTGTGAGAATGAGGAAGGTAGGCTTGAGGTTTTTGTCCTATTTAATCCTTGTCTCAATCAGAAACAAACTTGCTTAAAAAACAGACCAGTACACTACTCAGTCAATACAGCTCAGAAATTAATCCAGTGTTAGTTTAAGTTACATGAGGAAATTGTATTAGGTACTTTTCAGATTTTGAGGGAACCAGGACAAAATCCTGCTACTGCAAAAAGCTGAATGAGACCCCTGTGTCAAGAGAACATTTGTCAGGAGCTGTGCAACTACACAGCACCTGAATTGCTTCATAAGATTGTTTCAGAGCATAATACTGAGAAGGAAAATATTTGTATGCAAGCAAATTCTTACAGAGGGTTGGCTGAGCCAGGTGCTCCTGACACCTACCTTCCAAGCTGATGCAGGCCTAGAGCTACTGTACTCATCTCCCAAGGGTTTTTCCTTCAGAATGGCTGCTTCTTGGTGCTCAGAAGTAAGCTAGCAGCCATTCTTGCACCTTGAGCAGTATCTCAGCAAAAGCCACTTTTTGCTTTGTGTTCAGCTCAAATCTATCCTGACAAGGGAAGAAAAATTCCCACTAAATCTGAAAATGTTACTAAGGAATTCTGGTGTTCTGGTTAGGCTGAGAGGAAGGAGAGTGAAAAGCAAAACACTAACACAAGCTCTTCAGCCACTACCATGGACATGTCCTAATGGAGTTACCCACAGCATCCCCTTACACACCAGGGAAGACAGATTTAATTTATTTTAGGATAAGTAACTCAAGATCCTTTTCTGTATACTTGATACAATACTTCTGCTTTCTCCTGAAGGCAAATGCGGTACAGGTTGGAGACCACACTGTAAGAAAAGGCCTAGTTTGCCACAGCTGTCTCCATTTCCAGGAGTAGGGCAGCAGGATGCGCTAAGCAAGGCCCTTCAGACATGCTGGATGAGTCAGGTGCACTGTGTCTGTCTGGTGTCTCACTTGGCATTTAAGCCCATAAAAGATCCCTCACGCTGTACTCACTTGCATGCAGTGAATAGTGCAGCTGTTATAAAAAGTGGTTTTGAGAAATCAAGGTCCATTTGCTGTGCTTCAGAGAGGCTGGATTCATACCTAAAGAACAATACAGAAATAATTGCATAGTGCATTTGCCTCAAAATAAGTTATTGAAATGAATTTGTCACATGGCACTTGGCGGTTGAACAGGTCTCCTGTTGGAGTACTTGCTCCTTTGCAACCCAGTCAAGCAGAAACAGCTGCTACTGGTTGAGAAGAGCAAAAGACTAGGAAAAAAGGGAATTAGGATCACCTCCTCTTTTCGAATTAAAGGTATTTTAAATCAGGGATCAGGATCAAGGCATGTCAGTAAAATCTATTTCTTGTGCTCCCTATCCACGCAGAAATTTTATCTCTACCTTACATCTAAAAGTTACAATGAGATGCTTTGTATAAATCCATTTTATAATAGAGGGTAGAACTATAGTTTCTTTGATTCCTCTAATATGTCTATTACACAGATGAAGACTTAAATATAGAAAGTGACATGATGGATGTGCAGCACTAAAAAATTTATTTTTTTATTGTCTACCTGTCCCCAAGCCATTTTTTTGTATTAAGCATCAACAAGCATACACAGCCTTTGTTCACTGACATGCAACTCAGAATATTCTAAATCCCTAACAGCATTTAAACGTGTGCTATGAGGGTGACAGCGCTCCAGAACAGAACTCTTCAGTGATTGCTCTTGTTAAAGTAGATGTTACAGAGTGCAAAATTTTAGTTAAATCCACTGAATCTCCATTAAAGTGTTCTACCTATTGCTTTTACAGATAGAATACTGAGTGTTGTAAGAGATCTGCTTCTCCAGAAGGAAGGATTTGTTTCTACTGAGTATTACATCTGAACTGTGACATGATCAGCAGTTAAACGGAAGACAGTGTGATGCTATGGGTAAATACAGGGACTAAGAGACCTATATTTTTTATACTAATCCCAGTTGAAGAACTGGGACTCAGACAATGACTTACAGAGAGTCATAGATTAAGTCTTTCTAACATGTATTCTAAAAAGTGGCCTAGATAAACGGCTACTGTCAGTGCTAAGAACTCACCTCACCACTCTAGTCAGTGGGAGATACATGGCCCTTCAAACCATCAAGCTCTTTACACATCTAATGAACATAGATTCGTACTGGTGGTTACCAGTGTGCTCACAAAAGCTTCCTCACCTCTGTAATATTTTTGAAGCGGTGCTCACTGCCTCTGTGCAGCAGAATTGCACAGCCAAGTCTCGCATTCCCAGTCTGGGGTTCACCTCTAGCAAACATTCCAAAGACTTCATGGAGCTCTGGTAGGTCGTTTTGTTCAAACCAGAGAGTTTAACAAAATAGCTCTTTCAAGAAGACAAAGACAAACCCCAAGAATTAGCAAGATACCTTCTTGACATCTTATTCGGGCAATGAAAATAGATTAGAAAGAAACTACACAACACCACAAAATAAAGTTCAATTGCTATATTAAACAAATTCGTATAATGCATGATGTAAGTTTTGGGTGCACACAGAAAGTTTAACCATCTAGGAATGCCACAGCTTTTAATGCAGTGTTATTTTTAGACCATTTCTCTGGAAGTGAGGTTTGTCTCTTCCATATAATATGACATTGCCTTGTCACCACAAGGTGGTTAAAAACAAAGGTAACCAACATCTGGGCAACTGGAAGAGCTGAGCAATACTTTCATGCTACTCATCAGGACAGGTCCAATTAAATTATCCTCTTTCTGTGAATGGACAATCATGCACATGTTGTACCAGACATTATTTTGGCAGCTCAGTGCTATTTACCCAGCAGGTCTGCAGATGGAGCTTTACAGGTACCACTATGGAGGATTCCTTGGAGCCACTGCTTCCCTCCCACACTAAAAGGGACACACATTTAACATCCTTGGTGGTAGTTCATTTGTTACTAGAGGAGCTGAAACTATAACAAAACAAGCTCAACTTGTGAAGTGACTATGACACTGATCTCAATTTGCTCTGTTTCAGACCCCTGAGTACTGAAAGCTCTAATTCTGTGTTTAGCAGCACACTGGGTCTGGGATGAAGTCAGTTATGGCTATCCCCTTCCTCCTCCCAACATATGCTATACAGAACAATGACTTTAGTGGACTTATGGAGAATGCACCAGCCAGCCATGTCATATAATGCATCTTACTCTGTCAACTGGTTGTTTCAGGAAACTAGCTGCTAGGTCCAGGCACATCACAGCACTACTTGTTGCTGTCATTTGAGCCATTAATCCCGTGCATTTCACCTGGGCCAGCCGCAGAAACTCTTCGGCTTTTCTGTAAAACACCCAGCACAAAAAGCCCTCGTTAACAAAACCACCGTTACAAGACAGTAAGAACAGCAGGACAGGGACCGATCTAGCCCAACACCCCGGCTGCAGCACAGGCTTTGGCAAAGGAGTGCCGAACAGGACGGCAAACACAGTATAATACTGCCCTTTCTCTAATAATAACATGTAATACTGATAATAAGCCCGCGCGTTCCGCGGGCTCCCCTGCAGCGCCAGGGGAGGGCAGCGACTCCCGGCAGCTACACCGCCCGCCCACGCTGACGGCCGCCCGGGGGGCCCTTCCCCTTCCCCTTCCCCTTCCCCTTCCCCTTCCCCTTCCCCTTCCCCTTCCCCTTCCCCTTCCCCTTCCCCTTCCCCTTCCCCTTCCCCTTCCCCTTGCCCTTGCCCTTCCCCTTCCCCGGGAAGCTGCCCCGGCGGTACCTGACGGCGCAGGGGTGGCTGATGCCCAGCCGGGCGGCCAGGCCGCGCACCGCGCCGCGCTCCATCCCGCCCAACCTGCCCGCGGCGCGCGGCCTCCCGACGCGCACCCGGATTCGGCAGCGGATTGGCCGGCTCCTCCGCCTCTCACAGTCCTCTACGCCAATCGGCCGGGAGAGGGCCCCTTCCTCGCAGCGGGCCAATGGGGAGGCCGCGGCGCGCCGGCGGGGGCGGGGCGGCGCGGGCGGCGCAGTCACATGACGGCGCGCGGCGCTGCGGGGCGTTGCTGGCGGGGGCGGCTTGTGGCGGCGACGCGACCATGGTGAGGGTCCGCGGGCGGTGGGGCCGGGCCGGGCTGCGGCGGGCGGGGCCCTGAGGGTCGGTGCCGGTCCCGGTCCCAGTCCCAGTCCCGTCGCTACCGGGTGGGTGGGAATGGCTGGGAGGGGTCCGGCCCGCGCCCGCTGGTGGCCGAGGGGCAGGCCCTGCCACCCGGGGCCGGCCCGGCCCGGAGACTCCTGCTCGCCGCCCCCGGGAGCGCCTTCAGCGGCTCCGCTCCGCCGGGCGGGCCAGGCCGGGTGGCGGGGCCGGCGGGAGCCGAGTCCGGAGGCCGCCGCCCGGCCCGGGCGGGTGTGAGATGAGGGCTGGGCCCGCTGTGGTCGCGGTAACGGTCCGCGCTGTGGCGAACGCTGCCCGCCGTCAGCCGCTGCGGAGGGTCGGTGCGAGGGCTTTACTGCTTTCCCCCTGGTTTGCTTGGAGGGGCGCGGGGGAAATAGGTGTTTTGATGAGGGAACCACTGCTGCACTTGCAGCCGGAGTTTAAGTGTGTTGTAGTGTGCCGCTCCTGGCACAGACCCGAGGCTGTGCCTTTTCTAGCGCTGGGCATCTATGCTCTTGTTGCCCACAGTGCAGTCTGCTCGTCTGTTCCCCACCTTCCAGAGCTGCTGTTTCAGACTTCCGTAGTGAACCTCCTTCCTCTGCCTGCAGAAAAGGTGTTTTTTTCCCTGGTGGACCCGGCTCGATAGAGCTGTTCTGGAACAAATCTTGGTGTTTATTAGGGAAGCAAACCTGAAGTGTCAGCATGGAAACAGCACTTATTGAGAAATGCTTTCTACTTTTCAATAAAGATAAGGGACAAATTGAGTCATGGTAAAACTGAAAAGTCTACCTATTTAGAGTGTTCTCTGTGGTATTTAATATTTGATAAAATTTAAAGTAGCACTTACTATATCACAGTATATTAATTAGTCTAAATGTGGAGTTTAAAGAGTACTAACAGTATATAGACAGTGAGGCAAAAACTAAATGGATGCTTTATAAAGCACAGATTGCACAGTTCTTAGGCTTTTGTCACCGATTACCTTTTTAAAGTTATGTGTAGGTATGAGTTTAATAAAATATCCTCTAGAGGTGTGGGGGTGGGGAAAACCTGTAATGTTACTTGAATGATTAATGGAAAAATACTTAATTGGGTGATGAGAAATGCTAAATCTTTATAGGTAGAAGTCTCTGTCCCCTACATAAATACTTTGTGGTAGTCAGAAATGATGCAACTTTGCCTGCCACTTCCATGGGAGCTGACCTGAGACTTGTCTGGTCTCATGTCCTCTTTCTAAGAATAGCTGATATCAGGTGATTCAGGAAAAAATGAATTTATAGATGTTAAACATGGGATAATCCCCTCTACCAAATTAGGCTATACTGCCATTTCCTATGGCTGAGCTTTGTTTAAATCTTGAAGCTGAATGTTTAAGTACTTTTAACAAGACTGATTGTAAGAGGGCTCTGGCTGTTCCTGATGATCCCCTGCATGAAAAGTCCAGCCTGTTGATTCTTGTTAATGTCCTGTGGCTTCTTGTGGCAGTAAGTACCAGTTTAAACATGTGAAAAATGTTTTCTTGTCTCTGGTTCATCTTTGAGCTCCTATACTGTGAGGTATAATAGAAGTTCTGGAGTTGCCTTCAGTATTGCAGAATAATACTTGCTATATGGTATAAAATGTTTATGCATTTTTTTGTTTATTCCAAGCAGCTCAATGACTTTTGCAGCAATGCATTGTGTGCACCCAGGCTTCAGCTGTAGTCTGGCAGTAGTCCTGATCTGTTTCTGTAGCTAATCCATCTCCTGTCTTGGGTAGTATTCCTTTCAAATGTCTCAGTGATGACTGGCTGGTAGGTAGTCCTAATAAAATCCAACTAGGAGGAGGCAGAAGAACCTTCTTGGGTAAATCTCATTCACTGTGGTGCTAAATACAAGCACATGAACAAGCAGAAGGAAAAGTCATTTGTGGAATAGGCTGTAAGCGCATCAGTTATCTAAAGAAAAGTACTTAATCATTTGGAGCTTAAATGAAAATGCACTTCAGAATGGAACAGAAGCAAAACCTTCTACTTTGTATTATTTATACTCTGCATCCAGCTTAAGATACCCATATTGCCAGAATACAAGCTATTTGGTAGGCTACTCAATTTTGCCTTGAGTTCTGCTGTATTTCAATACTGTTTAATTGTTTCTCATGATACTGCAAGTTACCAGATTAAATGGAATGAGCATTTTAACTAGTCAACACATTGACCCAAAATAATAACCATCTCCAGAGTGCAGCTAAGTGTCAAGTATGAAACTAAGTATGAATCTTATGAAGTCTTCCCACGGAGCTGAGTGTTAGAAAATAAGTAAATTGTATATGATAGGCGTAATGTTCAGTTTGTATGTTCAAGAATAGTTGCTGTTAGGAGGATTGGCATGGTCCAGAATAATGTTTGTTGCTTTGATAATACACTTTTCTAACTGTTATCTGCAGGAGAACTTGTATTATGCACTCTTATCAGCCAGGCAGTAGACTTCTTCCAAGTTAGTTTAAAAAAATTACTGTTTTCCAAGGCAATTTACGGTTCACTAGCCTTTAGTTAAAAAAACAAAGAAACAAAAAAACCCACACCAAAAGCCAGCTCACCTCACCCCCCTGCCAAATTCAGTTGCTATGTATTGTGACTTCCATAACTTGCATGTGGAAACTTATGACAGGCCTTTCTTCAAAGCTAGAAAAAGGCTATGGTCTCTTGTACAGAAGCTGATAGCACAGCTGAAGGAGGCAGTTCTCTGTCCCCTCTCCACTGCTGACTTGCTTCTTTGTGGCTTCAGAGGATGAAAGGGTAGGGAACAGTAAAGCAGAAAACTGTTCACATCAACTCTTCTTTTTTCTTCAACATTTGCAGCATATCTAATGGGGGTAAGGCTTAGGCATTTTAAAAATATAAATGGCTGCATAATTTCTATAAATTACTTATCTTGTGTTCATGCAGGAGTTTACACCTTATTGCACATGTTGAAGGCAGGACATTCTGTGCCTTGATTACAGAGTACTGCTGCTTTTCTCCAGTGTTGAAGTACCTTCCTCTTCTAAAGCTTATTTTCAAGGTTCTTGTCTGTAGATTGGCATAGAACTCCACAGCACGCTTGCATTTTGTTGGTAACACTTGAAAATACCAGCTTGTGTTATTAGGTTCTTAATCTGAAGTGAAAGATACAGGGCATAAACAGCTTTATTCAACATGGTATCTGACAGAAGAACTGGTTCTCCTAGTTTGGTGTATGCCCTTCTAATTGTTTCTGGGAAGCTTTTGCTGTATGTTCTCTTTACTTCAATTGCTTTTTGCTACAACTTCTTTAAACTTCAGATGTGTGTATCTTGACATGATCTTGTGTATCACTTGATAATAACCATGTTATGCGTGGAAACCTCTTTAGTTCTGAAGCTGAAAGTGGCTTGCTTTATGAAATAGAAAGAAAAGGGTAAGCTGATAAATATTCAGCCTTCAAAAACTGAAAAGTAAGGAAGAGTTGGAATTTGTTCAGTGGTGCTGCTTTTAAGATGTTTTCTCTTCGTGTGGAAGTTAGGTTGCTACCAACACCTTGGGCGGCTTCTGTTGTATGCTGTGACAGTGCTAGGTTATCTCACTACCTGTGCGACTGTAAAATGCTGAGATTGTCTTTGCTTTAAACATGAAGTGCAGTACCCTTGTAGCAAAGACATCTTTGTTTAGACCAATCACCTTCTCAGGCTTCAAATCAGAACAGATATGGATGTAATTTTACTCTTAATCTTGAAGAAGTACAGAAGAAAAAAAGTTCATCTCGTAGTAACATAGAAATGCTTCTGATGATGAATTTAGTCATTCATTTAGCCCAGTCCCAGTTTTTAATACGGTGTGGGACCTTGATGCTCAAATTTAGAGCAGAAATAGAAATACTGTCAATGTGTCTGATGCAGACAGAATTTAATGTGAAGCTGACTCTGGTTCATTATAAATAGGCAATCTAGATCCGACAGAGCAAGGCTCCAAAACTCTGTTACTTCCCTGTTTGTAAACGGCAGTGATTAAAGTCACATAAAAATGTGTATACTTTCAATTAGATATTTCTGAGATAATTGTTGGTATTGTGTAAAACAGTCTCAAACTCGTAGTGGCCATTATGCTTTAACCACTGGTTTTCACACCAAAAGTAAGGAAACTGATACACATGCACTTTGCCAACCACTTCTTGGGACTGTGGCAAATATGTATTTCAGTAAATGCTTTAACTTGGTGCTGATGTCAAAAGACCTTCTTTTCACAGCCCCACTTGCAGCGTTTTATGTGGTTGTAGGGTGAACTAGGTGAATGATAAACTGTTTATCAGCAGGGCTAGTCTGGTTTATTTGATGCTTTACAGCCTAAATAGCTCTCCCAGCACTACATGGCCCTGTGAACAATTAGGGGTGGAAGAGCAGGCCTGGTAGCTGTGTAAGCTTAATGCTCTTTAGGAGAAGGGGCACAAAGAAGTTATGGTTAGTGTTAACACTACTGCACTGTGCCTATCTGTGCTTTAATATAGAGATTTGATGTGGTTAGTGCATATGGCATTCAGCTCAGTAGTGATGTAGCTTCTCTAAAGCACCAGTATGTGTTCAGGGGACTGTAGAGTGACAAATGCTCTGGCATAGATGTAATTCAGCAAGTCTGTTAGATGATGTTTTGGTATTGGTTGTTGGACACTAGTCCCAGCACTGTCACTTTCTGTTCCTTGAAAGTCTGATCTGTCATGGAATAAATACAATTTAGCAATTAGAGCAAAGTTCTG